CCCCAGCTGGGGCCTCGTCGGGTGGTGCAGTCGGTGGGCGGCCGGGCCGCCGTGGGGTGCCCGGGGGGTAGGGGCTTCCCGTGGAAAACCGGTTTCTGTCAGAGGGAACGGGACCTTTCTGCCGGGAGGAAAGGGAAGAAATCTCCGGTACCGGCAGCGAAGGACAGCCCTAGAGTTAGCTCTTCCTCTGGAGCAAGAGCAAATCCCGTTTCTTTTTCCCTCTCTGCTGCAAATGGTAGCAACTTGCAGCTATACCAGAAGATTCCAGGAGAAAAATTCTTGCTAGAAGACGATTCCCTCTGCAGCGTGTTTTTATTTCGCAGGAGGAAAGATGAAAGTATAGATCCAAGAGACATGCCGGTCTTATTGCCCAGTTGGTAGCGGAATGTGGGACTTTAAAGTAACAAAGGCCATTGGGTATCAGATTATACTGTATATAAAAATTAGTTTTGTAGGTTCTTCAAGATACTTGTTGATATTTTTTTTTTAATATTAAATGACAGTTAAATATTTGGACAGCTCTTAAGTTCATACTTTTATAAATTATATTTATTGTTTAGATAGGGAATTATTGTCAGTGGGAAAACTCAACTGTTTAGATATTTTTTTTTTCTACAGTTTGTGACTCAGCCGGGATAACAGTTTCTGGTGGTCACTTGTACAGAGTTAGCTTTTAAGATCTTGTATTTAGGTAGGTAGAAAGAGGAAAATGGCTTTACTCTTGAAGGTGCTGGCTAGTTTGCTTGAAGGGACAACTATAAAATAGTGGTTGCCAGAAGAAAAAAAATCTTATCCAGCGCTGCTGCTAAAAGCAACCCTTTTTTTTTCAGTACAGCTGTCTCTCAAGTTGCGTGACTGGGAGCTGATCTAACTGCAAACTAACCATCAGAAGACTTCCTTTTTTCTGTTTTTCTTCATGTAAATATAATAAAAACCATACTGGGTGTCACACCGAAGAATCTTTTTTTTTTTTTTTTTTGGTCTAGCTGTAAAAGCTGCCATGAAGGAAGTGCATAAGAAAAAGGCAAGTGTATGTGATGCTGCTAGAGAATATTCTCCCAGCTTCTTTCTCTTTCAGCTCAAAGGACTTGCTGAGACAGGTGTGGGTTTTCTGATGTATTTTGTAACTCTAAGTGATGTCTGTTCCATGTATTTTTTCAGATTTTTGTTCAACCCTTGTAAATGCTCAGCATCCATTACATTCTGATGGTTTCTTCAGGTCTGCCACCTGGTTTGAACAATCTCCTCCTTGTTTTTTAATCTGGCTGCTCTTAACTTAATCTGTGTTTAGATTAGAAGATGTAGTGAACAATTAATTCCTGTTCAGTTTGTGATGCTTAGGTGGTAGGCTTGCCTCTAACTTGTTTCCTTCTTGCAGTCAAAATGTGTAGTATGTTTGTTTCAGATGAAAAGTTGCATACTTTTATCATCCCTGTTGCTGTTCTGTGAACCTTCTCTAGTTCTAGTAGCTACTTCTCTTTTAGATGAGAGAACAGAAACTGCACACAGTTCAAGTGTTCAAGATGCGGGTGAATTCTAGATTTATACACCGGCATGATTTCCTCTCTTCTCTCTTCCTTTCCTACCAGTTCATCTTGCTCAGTTCATGATGTGTCTACACAAATACTTGTGCTAGTTCAGAAAAGGGGACGGTATGGAAGAAGGGTAAAATTGCTGCGTTTCATGTAGTGATAGGTTAAGACTTTTTGATCTGTAACATGAAATAGTGATTCTTGCATGTTGGAAGAGAGCAGGCTTGCTTCTCCCAGTTTCTGCAAGTCCAGGTTGCTTTGAATGTTATGAAATTGAGGCCTGAACTTGCAGAAGAAAGCAGGGTGTTTACTGCCAAACTTAGAGTGTTTTTTTTGCAGCGGTGCCTGTCAGGGCCCCGCAAGATACTGTCGTCTTGTGGGGTCAGAGTTAGATTCCTAATAGAAGTTCCATTTTTCACATCTGTGGACAGGGTCGAAATGAAAGATACTGAGATACGTTGTTGTTTCTGTTCTTGCTTGAACCCTTTCAGGTAAATGGAAGTGTCAGTAAGTTGTGAATTTAATACACATAGGATTCAACATTGGCTGAAATTTTCCAAACCACAATTATTTTCTCCACAGCAGATTGTAGGGTCATGTTGTTTAGAAGACAGTCTGCTTAGTGTGACTGGTGATTGTACAAGGAACAGAATAAACTTACAAAGAAAAAAAAACCACATAGATTTTACTGCCTTTCGCCTGTGGCTTTGACAAGTTCATAATAGTATTGTATGTTTTGTTTTGCTATTAAAAGTATTATTGTCATTGCTACCCAATTGCACGTGTTAAATATTGTTCACTTCCACAAGCTGGAGATTGAGCTGTTGTAAATGACTTCGTTTTCAAGAAATGTAATCAAATGAATTCAAGCCATTAACTAGCTATAGTAACCTGGTTAGTTTTGCAATTTAGAAAACTAACTCAGCTGCGTTGCTTCACTGTGACTGATGAAATAGTGAAAATAACATGGAAAGAAGAGGCCACTTCTTGAATAGATGTTTCCATTCATGTGCTGTTATTTTACCCTGCAGATTAAGGAGGCAAACATTGTTTATGCTTGGGACTCTCTGTGGTGAAAAGTAAATGTATCATTGTATCAACATTTGTAGTCTCACATCTCTCTTTTTTTTTTTTTTTTTTTTTTTTTTTTTTCTCTTTCATGTGCAGGATAGTGTTGAAGGTTCAGTTTCTGTTACAAAACAGAGAACAGGATCCATTGGAGATCGCCCAGCAAGACCTACTCTTTTAGAACAAGTATTGAATAAGAAGAGGCTGGTAAGTTTTGTCTTCTTACTGGTTTTGAACTCCAATAAATAAAGGCAGTGTAACAATGTTTAAGTAAGTGTCACCCTTGTGAAAGATGAAAATTGGTTTAGTGACCGTATGCTATATATGCATATTTTCAAATTTTAAATATGCTGCAGAGCAGATGCGTGCCTCAGCTTCTGCCTGAGGGTAGTAAAATGACTAAATGTAATGATCACTGCCATGTTAACTGAAGTTGAGGATCTTGGTAGTGCTAAGTAGATGTGGTTATTTCTTTAGGGTAAATAGTGCTTATAGTGTAACTGAGATGTGCTTAACTTGTTTAACTTTTTTGTAAAGCTTTAGACAGAACAATGTATGGACTTTAGGTATGATGTAAGCTTTAATTAGTGTGTTTTAAGAGTTGTGGACCTATCGTATCACACTTAAAAATGCATATATATGTGTTAATAAAGCAAACTGTGTAAGCAAACACTATGACTTTTAATATTTGTAGACTGCATGAATGGCACGTGTTGTAAGTTTTGAAACGCTTTCGTTGTTCCTGTAAGTATATTTAAAGAATTAAGCCCAATGAAAGGGAATAATTAAGTACTTACTGTTCTTGGGCTCTTCATTACTCTCTGTGTTATTGGTTTTTCCAGTCTCCTTTCTCCGAAAGTTAATAGGACTGTTTGCCTGTTCTGTCAGCTATGCAAAGCAATTTAACAATACTCATTGAAGTGCTGTACGCCTTGTTCAGAAACTTGAAACATCTTTGAAGAAACATTGTGTCAGTCTGAAGTATACAGTTATATAGATTTGTTTAAATTATTTCTCAATAATAGCACCTATTTAATGGTTATGTCTAAAACTCAGGTATCTGTGGCTCTTCAGTTTTTACAAGAAAAAAAGAAACAAACTATGGAGTTTATTTTTCACGTTATCTGTTGTTCTTCATGCCCTGCTTACTGAGTTGTGTCACCTGTTTCTCTTCATGTGGCTTTTAATTAAATTTGAAAGGTATCTTACTAATGAAACTTTTTTTTTCTAGAAATCTAGCAACCAAAAGCTCTTTAAATAGATGTTGAGAGCATTTGCACAGAATTATGTCAAGGCTGTTCAAGAATTGAGGTTTCCTTGCAGTATTCTGGCAAAGTGGGATTCAGATTCTCCTTGATCTGGTTCTTGCTTTTCTCTCTCTGCTCTGACTGAATTTCTGTAGTTCAGCATTATTTCTTGTAGAATTTATTCTTTGTTTTTGTGCATATCTACACGACACAAGGCCTGAGGGGTACGTGGTGACCCAGAAAGGTCTCTTGTGGCCCGTTGCATCCAAGGCTGTCCCATACCTTACGTTCCTGCACACGAAAGTTACTGCTTGTCACTGGTAGCTGCCTGCAGGCTGCTGGCTTAGAAGTGCCAAGTCCTTTGTGCTTGATAATTTTCTTGTGTGGTTAATCTCTGCAAGGGGAGGCTTTTGTGGTGGCCCTTGTGTGCCTGAATGTGCAGCTTGTGCTGGATAAAGATGTAAAGAGCAAAGGCAAGGGGCTGAGAAGGCAGCAGGCTGTGGACAGAGGGCTTGAAGCACCTTAATGTTATAAAACGACTGTAGATGAAGGACTGCTTGCTGCAGAACTACCCTGTGCAGTGAAGTGACTTGATAAAGCTAATGTATGGTAAGGAAAAAGTAGCTGCACGTCTGTTCGGTGAACCTGTTTGTTATTAGTAACTGCTTTCAGTGGCCAATTGTCATGGTTTAACCCCAGCTGGCAACTAAGCACCACGCAGCTGCTCGCTCACTCTCCCCGCAGTGGGATGGAGGAGAGAATCAGAAGAGTAAAAGTGAGAAAACTCATGGGTTGAGATAAAGACAGTTTGATAGGGAAGGCAAAAGCCGTGCACATGTGCAAGCAAAGCAAGGAATTCATTCGCTCCTTCCCATGGGCAGGCAGGTGTTCGGCCATCTCCAGGAAAGCAGGGCTCCATCATGCGTAACGGTGACTTGAGAAGACAAACACCATCACTCTGAATGTCCCCCCCTTCTTTCTTCTTCCCCCATCTTTATATACTGAGCATGACATCATATGGTGTGGAATAGCCCTTTGGCCAGTAGGGGCCAGCTGTCCTGGCTGTGCCCTCTCCCAGCTTTTTGTGCACCTGGCAGAGCATGGGAAGCTGAAAAAGGCCTTGAGTACTCTGAGCACTACTTAGCAACAGCTAAAACCTCTGTGTTATCAACATTCTTCCAGTACTAAATCCAAAACACAGCACCATACCAGCTACTAGGAAGAAAATTAACTCTGTCCCAGCCAAAACCAGGACACCAATTCACTTATCTTACCTGTTTGGTGCTGCTGTAGGGGTGAGTTACATGCAGAATGGTTGTTTTAAATTATAATCTCTGCAGAATTGCCCCTAATAGCATAAAGTTCTAGACCCTGCCCTGGAAGTTGCTGGACCTTTTGAATGTAAGTCTGGATTACATCAGTGAAGTGACCATGCATAATGAGCAAGCAATCTAGGGAATTAATTCAGCTGAAAAATAGCTTTTTCCTGCATTAATTTTTGGAAGGATCTATTCCTAACCTGATTTGCCATTTGACCTTACAAGCACTTGTGTTGCCACCATGCAGGAGGGAGAGTGAACAACCGGAGTTGGATCGCAGGCTGCAACTGTTCGGGCCAGGAGCCACATGCAAATAGTTTTAGAGACTTTTGTCTTTCGACTGAAGGCAGAGGGGTGTTTTAACTCATTCCTTGTGGCTGGACTGCTGTTTTGAAATGTTGGGAAATTGTTGAACACTTGCTAAACATAGAATCAATGGAGTATGTCAAGTTGGAAGGGATCCATAAGGATCATCAAGTCCAACTCCCTGCTCCTCACAGGACTACCTAAAACCAAACCGTATGACTAAGAACGTTGTCCAGATGCTCCTTGAACTCTGACAGGCACATAAGCTTTGCTGTAGAATTATAGTATTTAATTTATTTATTACAGTATTTTTGGGCTCTCTGCAGTGGGAAATGTAGAAATTAGCTCAAAACTAAACCACAATTGAAAAGTGTTTGTTTTCAATATGTCGGTAGATTACTCCTGTTTGCTATTTTTATGGGTTTTACAATATTGGATATTCTTTGCACTCCGAATCTGCTTTCCGGATGTGTATTAATGCTGCATCTGGTTACTGCTGATATCCTGAAACAGTTTCTCTTCTCAATGTTTTTTTTTGTGGGCATGTTTTGTAATTCTTCAGCACTTAATTCAACTCTCATTTGTATGGGTGTAATGGTTTTGGTGGGGGTATGGTTAGTTTTCTTCACAGTAGCTTGTATGGGGCTATGGTTTGGGTTGTTGATGAAAAGTGTCGATAACACAAGTGATTTTTTAGTTACTGCTGAACAGTGCTTCATCCCACTGCTGTATGGGGCTATGGTTTGGGTTGTTGATGAAAACAGTGTCGATAACACAAGTGATTTTTTTAGTTACTGCTGAACAGTGCTTCATCTCACTGCGGGGGGGGGAATGAGCAACAGGCTGTGTGATGCTTAGCTGCCTACCAGGGTTAAACCACGGCAATGGGTAATGCACAAATTGATTTAATGGAAAAAGACTATAATATAGTCACTATGGTAGCTATTATATGTGAGTTCTTTAAAGCAAAGTCTGCTTTTTCTTTCTTGCAGTCCCTACTCAGAAGTCCAGAAGTAGTGCAGTTTCTGCAGAAACAACAGCAACTGTTAAGTCAACAGGCTTTGGAACAAAGGCAGCAACAGTTTCAAGGAGCACCTGGGTAATCAGAACAGATCGATGACCTGTGGATGAGTCTGGTGCTGAAGGAGGAATAGGTTTTGTATTTTATATAAATACAAAGATTCTCAGTGTTTAAAGGAAAACTAAAGTTGCTGCTGTTATGTATTTCACTTGTTTCTTGTTTGCACTTTTGAGGTTTGAGCTGCTTGGGTGTCTGCAAACTTGGGAGAAAATCTGGAGGAGTATTTTCTGAGTCTTTTTAAAACGTCATTTTAATTTTAAATTTTTTAATAGAAATCTGTTTATTAGTAATGTTTAGCTGTACACCCTTTTCCTACCAAAGTCTTCCACTAAATTAACATTTTTCTGTACAAGGTTTTACTGTTAAACAAGTCACTCTTTGATGACAATCATTGAAGGAAGCCAGTTACTTTCTATGGAAGTTGTGAAATAAAGTCCTGAATTTGAGCCAGTCCAGTGGCATGACCTAACAGCAATTGCTCAGGGATATGAGAAACTTATGTCCGGTAGAATTTTGCACTACAGACAACATGCCATCATCAAGAATTTGATCCAGTGGCTCAGAACAGTGCAAATCAGGTGATCCTCCTGCTATATATTCGTATCTGCAAGTTGAGTAGGTTTGAAATGCTTGTCTATGCAAAGCATGTAAAAGAATTTGTGTTTAAAAGTTCCAAAAGAGATAAATGGCAGAAAGCTTTGGAGAAGAATTTTTTTTTCCTTTATGTAGTCTTTTACTTCTAAGAAAAAAAAAAAGTGTCGTTAGAATTCTGCTACTAAGACAACCGATAGCTTATCATCTCTGGTGCTGGGCTTCTCGGGTCTTCAGCCAATTCAGATAAACTTGATTGGGTTAAGAACCCAAACACTGTATTATGTAAGTGTGGAATCCCATGTTTTGTTTTTAAAACAGTTTTGTATGAAACCACATTTCTGAATAGAGGTTACCTGAATGGTGTAGGTACTTACTGAAGTACTACTTCGATATTGCAGCAGTTTGATCCACTAAATGGTATCTCTTCAGAAGTTTTTGTTAGTGTTACGAATTTTTACAAGCTGTGCTTTGTGTATGTATAGAACTTGTTCAGTAGGGATTTGTTGCATTTAGCATCGTGCAAGTTGTTCTTAAAAAAAAAAAAAAAACCAAACCTGAGAAACTTTTTATCAACAGCTCTGGACCAATAAGTGTTTGAGTAAAATCTTTGTTTTTCTTTAAAAAAAAAAAACAAAGCCTGTTCTTTTTTTGTTCTCTTAAATTTGGTGTTGGGGTTTTTTTTTTCCCATGCTAAAATGGCTGGCTGTAATGCCACCTAGTCAAAACTTCTGTGTTCCAAGGCTCTCATTATAGAAAGTTATTTTGGCTTTAAGTAAAATCAGATTACTCTTTTCAGTGTGTCAGAATATATGTGAAAATGTAATGGGCTGAAATTGTAGAATAAAGTATTTGCTTTTGTTTTAAATGGAAAGCATTTAGCTGAACAGATCTGATTAAACTTTTTAAAAAAAAAAAAACAAAAAACAAAAAAACCCACCCAAACCCTCCTGGTAGAAAAGGGGCCCAGGGAGCATTTGTCAAGACAGTGGTGAACGAGTTGGTTACCTCAAAACAAATGAAATTCACTGACAGTGTGCACAGACAATTCAGCACGGCGCAGCTCGCCTGTACTTCCGGCGCTCTGTGCTACCGGTGCCTGACGGGCAGGTGCTGGTAACGGGGCTGTCCTGTGCGGCCGAGTGCCAGATGGGATTCCTGGGCCGGGTGTGAACCCAACAGCGTCCGTGGGGCTGCAAGGCTGTTAGGTCTTCTATTCCCTCACTTCTGTTACTGCAGAACAAAACCTGAATTTAAGAAGATTAAAATCTGACTTCTGTATCCTACTGCATACCTCTTCTCCCTGCAGACCCACACTTTGTCTTCTGTGAATGTCAGTCTGGCCCACAGCTGGGGCTTTCTCCTCCTCCACTGCTTGTTAAACTGCTTGTGGGATTGGGGCTGCCTCCTTCAAAAGGAAGCTGAACCACCCTCTTGAATCTTCAGGCCTACCACAGGACAGTGAGGGAGGCACATACTTTATAATGTGGATTTTATGCCATATTAATTTTCAATAAGTTTTATAGTGTCTAGCATCCCACTCTGTGGATGTGTTGCCTCATCCCATTACTTACTCAGTGAAACCACTGCGTCCTCTCGCCTAAGGCTGACTTGCACCAATAAAGGCTTTCTAAATCCTCTGTTTCCTGAAGTCGCTGGTGACCAGACTGGCACCTACAGCTTTCCCAAGGCCAATGTCCTTCAAAGAGAAAAATGGGAGACGACAAGTGGAAGAGCTCTTAAATCAGAAATATCTTTATTAACAGTAAAACACAAGACGTGAATAATCCCTTTTACAATAGAATAATTCCAGCCAAAGAAAATGGAGTGTGTTAAAAAGTGTATTGTTCAAACATCAGGCTACATAGGTTGGCTTCAGAATGCCTCAAATCAAATGCAGCAGGAGGAATGCTTGTAAAAACATCCCCTCGATGAGCAGTTGTTTTAGCTTTCCTGATACGACAGGGCGTGGGATGGAGAACTCCGGGGGCTGATCGGAGGACTCTGACCTGCCCTGGTCTCTCAGGCTCCTGAAACTAAGCTTGTCTGAGATTTTTTCATTCTCAAGAGGCAAGAGTCCAAGCAGCGTTCTTTATAGTGATCTACGCTGTTTTACATAGTATCACTAACTGTGAAGAATACTTTCTTCTGGATGGTGCATACGTTTTGCCTTGATTCTGATGGAGCAGAGAGGGCCGAATTGTTCATAGGCAGAAGCGATGCTATTAAATCTGTGTACGACTCGCGGTTCTTTTCTGCACCAGACTCTTGATGGCTTGTCCTTAACACAAAAAACCCACACCCTGCTCAAATCCACCATTTTGGCCCCTTGACTGCATAGGGGTTGTTGCAACCTTTTGGCTCCATAGATCCATACAGACAGGCCTGTTTCTTCACTTCCTTTGTCTCACTTCTCAGCCCAATTTATATCACAGAGGAGATAGATACTGAACTGAGGGATTAAATTGCTAACACTGAATTATCTGCAGAAAAGTATGCCGGGGTACATTTAACTTGTACTTAGAAAGTATCATAAATAATTAAAAACTCCCAATTGCTTGAGTAAGCGAAGAAAATTTATCTGAATGTGCATTCTCTGCTCATCAATGTGTTTGTTCCCTTGCTCCCAAAGCATCTCATGGACATAACTGTGAATTAATAAGATGTAACATACACTTCAGCATCAAAACCCACTTTGAAACATGATGTGCTCACTACTGTGAAAGTGCAAGGGGCCAGACTTTACCAAGTTTTTTCTAGCTTTTCTTTGCTGATGAGGTTTGTGTTTAAAATTATTAACTGGTTGGTCTGTTTCTTCCTATGCTATTCATACGCAATATTATTTGAATACTAACATGGAATATAAAATAGCAGCATCCATGGATAATAAAAACACTATGACTGAAGATCTAAAAACTTCACAATTAGCTGCAAATGTTCACATTGGCTATAATGGAAGAGTAGCTGACTCTGGAGGACGTAGTGGTTATGGCTACCTTGCATAAGAGACATGGCCTGCAAATCACATTCGTTATCTGTACAGGCACCAAGTTTGCAAGCACGGCCCAGGTGCAAGGGGAGGTGTCCTCTTGACAGGACCCTTGTAGACCTCACCTCCCTGGCAGGAAAGCGTGGCATCAATATGGCGATACAATGTAAGGCACACCCGGGCAATCTGTTTGGGAAGCCTTGGGGTGAACAGGTAACGGGATCCTGGCTGCTCCTGGCCACTCTGGAGCTTCCTGTGAGTAGATGATTGGTACAAACCCAAGGCTGTGTTTCGTGCTGGTGCACAAGACGCGGAAGTGTCTGCCTGCGCTAGAGACACAAAGTGATTTCTCTTTGCCGAACAAAGACTAAATGCCCAGTCGGGCTTTTCAGTGACTGCAAGGAAGCCTCCAGGTTGAGCAGCTTTGTATTGACTGATCTAAAGGCTCATGTAATCTCTCTCGCCGCTGCAAGATGGGACCAACTCTTTTTGATGGTGACCTGACCTCTCAGTCACTCTTGGGGAAAGACGTGTCCATTCTTAGTTCCTGTTGTAAATATTCCATCGTCAGGAGTCCACGTGCAAGCTCCTGCTGACTCTATCTTCTTTTGGGCACTCCAATTTCCCACCTATGCACGAAGTGAGTTGCTTTGTTGCAGTTCCCAGGTAGACGCGCTGTATAATCTGCGCCTTTCAGTTGTGCAGTTTCTGCTTAGACTACAGTTTTCTTTTGGGAGCACACACTGGATGTGCTTACAGCGTCCTTGAATACTTGCCCAAATCTGAACTCCTCATTAGTCCTGCAGCGAGGCAGAGGGTAATCTTGCAAGTGCAGCTCCCAGATACAATCAGAGGCTGCTCCCTGGATCACATGGGACACCATTTGCCCCAACATACCTAATGGCTTAATCGGGAAGCTGGCGCACCCAGCTGGGCCATTTGTATCGGAAGCACCAGATCAAGGATTGTGGTACTTCAAGCTGCTCCTAAAACAGGCCTTGATGTTAGTTTAGATGTGAATGTAAAAAGTTCTAGTGAATACAATGGCTGCCCAAGCATGTACTGCCTTCACACCTCCTGCAATGACCTCTGAGCATATCTGGTCATATGCTCCCTCCTCCCAGTCCCTTCGTCTTCTCAGTGCACCTCAGGCTACAGAAACCAACCATGAACTAGAAGTCATCTAAAAATCTTCTCAGCCCCATCACTTGAGTTTCCACTCACACAGAAGGGCTTGGGTTCAGATGTTCAAGTAACAGCTTCTCCAGAGCACAGAGCTCTCGCCTTTGTCTTGGAGAATATATAGGACATGTTACATTCAGTACATTTCTGGTTATATAAATCTATATTCTTCTCAACTTTGAAAAAATGGTATTTAATTACCCTATGACTCATTAATCTTTCTTTATTGTGTTTGGTTTTGGTTTTACTAAGTTAGGTCATGGGGAGCCAGGGGGGAGAGGTGAATAGTACAGAGGATGTAATGTTTCTTCCCTGTGCTGAGCACCACGTAGTGCTCAAGTGTTCCTGAAAGCTATAGCGGCACCAGAGAAGTCACTAGTGGGCCAAGACAATTGGCCGCATACTTGAGACCCCTTCAAAGTTACTAAATTCGATCAAGCTTCTTTATAAATCATTTCCATCCAGCCAAGAAGCAAACAGTCTCTGCCTGAGCTGCCTCTGTAAATCCAGCTGTTTGTGCAACTCCTCAGTTGCTGGTGAGACTTTCTGATCCGTGGAGCTTATATGCGAAGGTGCGTGTTGTAAGCCAGGAAGAACATGGGCAGATTAGATGATAAAATGGCAGTCACAAATGCCTGATCTTCTCCATTCTAAGAGCTGTGTGGTGGAGATGATGTTTAGAGTGAGAGATGTTTGCAGCGTTGATTATAGATGCAGGAAACTTTAATACCTCTTAACTCTGTCCTGCACTGAACTCATGCAGAAATAGCTGAGGATAAATATGCTTCATCCTGAAATTGTCCCTTACTGACAAGAGCTCCTGCCTGTGGCAGCCAGTTATCGTGGAATCTCTGCAGAGACCCACAGAATAATGCAATCAAGTCTGACACCCTGCGCAAGGCAGGGAGACGCCTCGGAGATGGCTGTTCAAGGCGCTGAAAGTCTTGACACAGTCCCTGCTGGAGACATGGAAGGAATTTCCTCAACTGCATTTGGCGTTACTTGGGACCACAGTTCCCCTTTGTGTTGCTGACACATTAGTTATCCTGACTGAGCACAGCAAAATGTGAAATACTCATGAGGAGAAAAGGCGCTTGTGGCGTAGCCTCTGACGGGGAGGCAAAGCACGCGCTGCAATTCTGAATGCTACAGCCACTGCTGCACCGTACCGGGTCAGCCAAGGTTATGGGACTGAGCCGTGAGAGCAGCGGTGCCACTGAATGGCTCCGCGCAGCCAGTGTGCCAGACTTGCTTCTGCCACCTCTGGATGCAAGTGGCATGTTAATACTGGTGCTGCCAAAGAACTGGCAGCAATTAAGCAGTCTTCTTCTCTCGGCTACTTAATAGGAAAACAAGTGGTCTACGTACCATGATGCGTGCACTTTTTGCCACTGCCTGATCGGACTCCCACCACTGCCTTGCTGATGCATGGTACTTCGCCACAGAAACTTTCAAGAGGGTTTGAATTGTTGATGGCTCAAAAAACATATTAAAAAATCTCCCTTCGACTAAGCAGTCTCGCTGTAAGTGGTTTTAAATCTCTCAGGAAGCCTATTGCCAAAGCTTGAGTATTAATGAGTGCATTTAAAGGCTTTAAATTGACTACAGGTTGATAAGTTCATGAAGACCTTTCAGCAGAAAACACCTCCTTCCAAAACAGAGAGACATTAAAGTGAGATACAAAGTTACATTGCTGATTTTTAACTGATCTTAAATCACATAGTAGAGAAGCCTGTAAGACAGACTTTGTTCATACAGAACGGGAAATAAATGGTTTATTTGCCTCACTTTTCATCACTGCGTCTGGGCAGGGATCATCTTCCTGTTTACTTGTTTGCCTCGTGCACTGTTACTTCTCCCTCCTGACGTGAGCTCTCCCCTCCTCTTGGGAAGGAGCTGTCAGCTGCTGGGTGTTTGCACGGCATCTCATCCAGTGGACTAAGCCCCTAGAGGCCATCAAAATAGGAAAGAGTTCACCCAGCGATACCAGCCGTCCCAAATGCTAACAACTCTGAGATGGCTATTGGCACTGATTGCCCAGAATCAGGTGCTTCGATCAAACTTTCAGCAGATAGTTAAATTTGCTGAAATTAATCTCATCCTAACGCAGATATTTTAAACAGGTCAGAAGACTCATGCTCCAGAAATGCCTCTTTACTTACTAGTAAGGGAATATTAAGGTGACTACCTTTAATGAGATGCATGTGTGGACTGCATTGAAGCCAAATCCTATTTGTATGAGGATTACTGTAAAAATAGACATAAAAGGAAAGGAAAACTGCTCTGAATTTACCAACTTCCATTTAAACACAGACGCTTACTGAGTAACGTTCATTACCAGGCTGGGAAAGCCACCACGTCTTCCCTAGGGCCCACCTCACCTACTTTTGGATATGTCCAATGTAGCAGTCCAAATTTGAGCTAGTGACCCCGCGTTCCCCTTATACTCAATGGTAAGACATAACCATGCTTGGAGCGCAGTGTATTTCACCTACTTGAAATACCTGCCCTCTGATTAAATGAATGATGCCCCAGAAGAACCTACTTCTCGTCACTGGCTCTGGAGCTGCCCCAGAGCAGATGCACCTCAGAACGTCCCCCTGTGCTCTCTGCGAGGAAGATGACAATGCTGGGAACATCTAAAAGCAACTCCTAGGCTTCTCTCTGTATTAGGAAGGAAGTAAGTTTCAGCCTAAAAGGCAAGGAAGAATCTAGGATGAAAGAATAGAGCTAGATCCTGGATAGAAGAGGTGATTTTCTCTGTCCTTAGCTGCTAAGAAAGCAAAGGGATGAGCAACATGAAAAGCACAGAGGAATTACTGGAGAAAGGGTGCAACGAACGTGCTAAAACACGTGTTACCAGTACCTCGGTAAAGTGACGCTGGTGGCAGAGGAAGCTGAGGAAAAGGTCTTTGTCCAAACTGATCTCTCTCAAGTCTGCTAAACAGTAAATGGCATGTCTGGAACTTCTGTGTAACGTTATTATTGCATTTCATTGCTGCAGGAGACTGTAAAGCTTTTCCTATCCCACAGTGACACTGCTGATGTCAAATGATGACAGAATAGGGATCTTCTCATTTACAAATTTCCTATACAACTTGCTGTTACTGCTCAAACTTAACAATTTATCATTCTGTGCCCCACAAATTCTGCAGGCAGCTGCAAATGAAGTAACCCTGCTGCTGATTCTTCTGCTCTGTTCATAGTTACCACCCTGTAACAGGTATTACATAGCATCTAAAATACATGGAAAGTCTTTCCAATGAATGTTATTTGATTTGCACACGTGACGTAGCTGAAGATTTCAGGCATCCTCTTCTAATTATGCAGCAAAATATGTAGCACCAGATATTGCGTGAGAAGAAAAGAAACAGTCTGCAAAGCATTTTTTTTTTTGTTCTCAGAATACTTCTGGTGTGTTCTAAGTTTTTTTGAAAAGTCATCACTCTTTCTGACCCTTAAACCAAAACAGTTTCCAGTGGACTGTTATGCCTGGAAAGAAAGAATCCTCTGCCCTTTCAGCAAGGTAATGGGGACCATCAAAATGTCGTAAGAGTTTCACCTGCCTCCTCAGAAAAGGTTACCGAGTGAACAGCATTTTGTAAGGCTGGCTCTGCAGATGAGAGTATGGGCAATGGGTTTCCCTGCTTACAGAAGGCCCACAGAGAAGAAGCTTTTTAAAAAGGTTCTGCACATAGATTCGCTCTTTGCTTGTTCGTGGCTTACACCGCCTCACCATCCTCTGCAGGTGAGGTAAAAGCACTTGCAAATGATGAAGCCTCTATCTAAGATGAGCAACCATCCATGAGGATGTACAAATTGACTGGCAGGGAAGCCCTTTCTGTTGAACCCGAGCGTTGCAGTCAGATCCCAAGGACTGGCCCAGCACGGGGGATGGAGGTGGCTGACTCCCACCTCCTTCTCGCTGCATCCTGTTCCCGGTACAGAGACTATCCCAAGATGAATGATAAAGTAATTATTCGGTTCTTCAATGCACACTTCATTTCCCTTTTCTGAATCACAGTTCAAGTCCCTTTTAGACGTACCCTTGATATCAGCACAGTAGTCTAACTACAGACAGTCCTAACTTTAAAACAAACTACATCAATATTGTATAATGGATAGGATTCAGTTTACATGCCGGATACATATGCAAGTATGTATGCACTTTGCAAAAAAGCACTGGAAGTTAATTAGTTTTCAAACTTATAGGCATATATTTCAAATTTTCTTTTTTTTTTTTTTTTTTTTTCTCTTAGGAGCTTGTTGCTTTTCAGTGCAGCAGTACCGTACGCTACCGTGTTAACAGCATCAGACTACTCGGATGTGTCCAGAATGCTCTGATAAGGGTCCAGTGCTGAACGTGTCCTGAGGGCTCTCTCCTCCTGCCAAATTCCTAGGGGAGACAGGGGTGCCTCAGCTCCTCAGAGGCTCTGTTGTCCCATCGTGCTTTGCAGTAGGGAGACAGACTGGAATTACGGTTTAGTCCTTCAGTTCACTGGATAAAAGTAATCTCTATGCATAAGTCCTGTGCACCATCTAAGGTCTTCCTTTAGACCTGAAATTAGGATGTAAAACGGATATAAATGGTGCAGAGATCTGACTTCGGTTGCCTGCAGAGGGGTGAATTTCACCTACTAGGAACAGCTACAGCCAGGTTTCTGAATCCGCATGAAAGTGCTGAGAATTCGCACCATTTACTGGCTTGGCTGGGGAATGAAGATGCTCACAGGAAATGTTTGACACTTTTGCAGGAATTTGGCTTATTTTGTACTAGAGAACAGATATGCTATACCTGAATTTCTAAACTTATTGTACTGGCATCGGAGTAACTAGAAACCACAAAACGTAGCATGAAAAAAAAAAAAAGAGAGTAGACTATGTATAGATATATTTACATCTACATACATCTACATATAGAAGCTTCTGTTCACTGGAAATCCTATAAGCCACTGCCTGCAATAGCATCCATCCTAAGGGAATTCTAGAGATGATTCTTAAGAAACTGAGGAGATGGGATTATGAGGTGAGCCCATCTGTGTCAGCACCTTATCCAGCCATTGCAATGGTCCATGCAGGTGAATCTCAATCCAGCAGGGCGTGCTTGTAACATCTTGGCGATGATACTCTGCTCCCCAGCCCTAAAAAAGCATCAGAGAACCGAAAAGTGAATTTTTTTCATAAAAACCCCCAACATTAAATCACAACTCCAGTGCTGACAGTCTAACACAACTACAGGTTGTGTCATCACCCAAGTTCCCAAGATGTAATGCTTTGTCCTAGGGATAATTTTGTCTAGAAACTTTGCTCCTTTTTAAGGTCATTGTTATCACTGTTAGCAGCGACTCTATGCTATTAAACTAAAAATGCTCACTCACACTTCCAGGCACTGAAACCAAGTGCCATGGAAAGACCTGTCTCCAAGCTTGGTTGCCTGCAAACAGCCCATGGGGAATGAGTCCCTGCTGCTCACACCCCAGAGACGTGCTCAGGAAAGTCTGCCAGAGTTCTGCCTGGCACAGATGAAAAGCAGGCCAAGCCCTGTCATAACACTTTAACAGGAACTGGGAATGAACCTGGGCACTGCTTCAGTTGAGTCTGAGACTCTAGAAGTTATACGTATTTATCTGAACCTCTGGAAACTTCCAGCAAGGTTCCTATGTACCATACCTAGCCTATGTATAGACATTTAGCAGGGCCGGTTGTGACAGGACAAGGGGTAACGGTTTTAAACTAAAACAGGGTAGATTTAGACTGGATATAAGGAAGAAATTCTTTACAGTGAGGGTGGTGAAACACGGGAACCGGTTGCCCAGAGAGGTAGTGGAGGCCCCATCCCTGGAAACATTCAAGGCCAGGTTGGATGGGGCTCTGAGCAACCTGATCTAGTTAGCGGTGTCCCTGCTCACTGCAGGGGGGGTTGGGCTAGATGACCTCTAGGGGTCCCTTCCAACCCAAAATATTCTATGATTCTGTGATTCTATGATTCTCCGTAAGTTTTCTATCCTTGAACATGTCCTTTTCTCCCATGGGAGTTCCTGGCTGTCTACTATGGGAAGTCCTGAAGTAATTTCTCCAGCTCTTTCAGGGAGATAAGGGATATGGAGCATCTGATGAAGATGGGGAGGCGGTGCTGGCAGGGAGAAAAGAGAACCAGAAGTCCCTGTGCCTCAAGCGGGCAGTGTCTGCTTGCTAAGCTGGCAGCCTGATTCCACAGCAACGCAAGACATGCGAGTCACGGCCCAAAGTCTCGCAGCTCACTGGCTGTCTCGCTGCCAGAACTGAACTTGGATTTCCCTAGGGCAATGTGCTAAATGCATTCCCACTGCAGGATGAGGCTCCTCATCTGTGGGCCGCTGGTCAGAGAAGCTGAGCCTTACCTATCATTATGCTAGTCAGGCAGGTTGATATGCTTGTCATGGAAAAAGGACATGGGGGTATATTAAGACTGACGTCTGCCAAACGTACCTAAATTGTAGAGTGCTGAACAACTCAGATAACTGAGGCTGCTAGAACACACTTCTCTAGATGATCAGCCGCAAAACTAGGATCAGCACCAAGACTACATGCCATAATAAGTGGTCTGGACAAAATGCATTTCTACTTAACAAAGAAAAGGGGGAAGAAAGCAGAAGAGTAAGATATGGACCCACCAAAGCCCAGAGTACTTTTAGTCAGGCAGCATTTTTCTGACCATTTATCAGGCTAGAAAGGGCCTGTGGTCACAGGCACCCCAGATTTATGTTCTGGAAACGTTGGCATAAAATGCCACTTGCTTTTGAGTTTGTGAAATCTCACATACTCAGCTGCAGGGAAGATACACGGCCAGAAGGGTACGTGTCAGAGGAGTCAGTGCACCTCTCCTGACTGGCAGGACAGGAAATCCAGAGGAATAGGAATTACAAGTGCAACCTGCCTGATTTGGAAGAGTTTGGGAGGGTATGCAGGTGGCTGGCCGTCTCCCTCTGCTGGCAACTCCCAAACACTCAGTGCTGCTGACTCCGGTTGCCGTCTGGAACTCCCAGCAGAGGAAATGCCAGGCAGGCAGGACCCCCTGTGCCTCCCCTACCTCACTCTCGGGCTGCAGGTACCCTCCTTCATCCCCGGGGCTGAAATGAACCCGGAGGTGGAGCTCTCTTAACGAGGGAATAAAATGAGAACAACTTGCAAAGCTGTGGTGGTGTTTTAAGCAGAAAGTGGAAAGATGATACAGATAGCCCCATGGGGAGACAAGGAATGTGCCTTTTGGCATGGGGGAGATCAGTCGAGGGGTCCTGCTGCTCCTGCCAGCCCTTCCCACCTCCTGTGGGCAGCAGCTCTCTCCAGCCCAGGTTCCAGCCACATCCCGGAGCGCTGAGCTGCCTCGTGCTGGGGAGCATGGCCAAGTCTGTTGGGTCATCCCCTTAGCCCCAAGACCTGGGGAAATATGGGAGGGAGGGCGTTTTGTTCAGGCCTTGGCTTGGCAAAACTCTCAATCTCTTCACTTTGTGATTCAGCTGCCTCATCTGTGGAGAGGGGACAACAGCCATCCTGCTTTGGTTATCAGCAGTGCTCAACAGATGGAAATTGCTGTCCATTCTCACTGATAATACACTCACATTTGCCTGAAGGTTGAGCTTCTCCCCCCTGCTCCACAGGCACACAAAAGATATCAGAGGGGACAGGACCTTCACCTCCTTCTGTCCCATGTCCTGACTCCAGAAGATGATACAGTCTTGGCAAGTTTCTCATGTCTTGGTCCCTACCCATCTCTGCCTCCCAGCTGGTAGCTCAAGCATTGGTGATATAGGAGCCAGGGTCTCCAGCCCTTTGGGCTGTAGGTGACCAGCAGCATCTGATCATGAATGAGGGGAGAAGCCAAAGGACTGCCCTGCATCTGGGGGCTCTCGGTGTGTGGCTCTGACAGACAACATGCGCCTCTGTACACTGCATACCCGACACCCAGGGGAATTCCTGTCCCCAAACTGAACGCACAGGGGCTCACACCTTGGGAGTGAAATAATTTGAGAAGATTGAGTACAGGAAAGGGTTTTTACAGGCCAGGAAGGAAGAACCTCAATGAAATTTGCATAGCCATTTTCCAAAGGTCATGGGAAAGGGTTCAAAATAAATCCTTGCACTGGTCTTCTGGTGCCTGAGGCACTATAGTGGCTGCTATTGTTTCAACAAAGCGAGGTGATAATATAGCAGCAGCGTTATTTAGTGCATCAACACCACCATTTCTGCTGCCATGTTGGGTATGGAGGCAGATAACACATCAAAGAGACTGCCCCTGAGTTGCTGAGATAATGAAAGCATTGCGTAACTGGCTACACTGCCTTTACAAACAACATGCCCATTCATGTCTTCCATTAAAGAAAATGCTGTTTGTTGGGTTTCTTGCTTTCTTTTTCCCCCCTGAAGCTTGCATGTGAACAAGGTGTCAGTTACTTCCCAAGAAAAAAGCAACAATGTGGTCACAGGCAGAGAGATTTTGTCTTGGACTCTTGGGAAAAGTTACAGGGCACTCCTAAGGCTCTCAGAGTGTTAAGGAGATGGGCCCCCAAGGATAGCTGGAAAGAGTCAGAACCAGAAAGCTGCATGGGACTCAACTCATCTGCTTTGCAGAACATAGGGGAAGTGGTCTCAAGCTTCAAGCAGTTTTGTATTATCTTAGATGTGAATTCATTCGCCTTGATTCAGTCATTTGTACATAACCAAATCTGCAAGACAAAGGGACATACTCAAACCTCTTCTTATGGTACCTAGGACCAACTTGCTTCTGATGGTGCAACTTCTCTAGTTTGCAGGCTGAACGCTGCTGCCAGCTCTCCCCAGCAGCACTACAAGAAGTCAGCGTAGTGCATCTTTATACAGTCTTGAAATACTCACCATTCTCTGGGGTTTAGATGCTACAATAGGCACATAAGTAAATCCTAAGTGGCAAAAGGAGCCAAGAGACCTCATTCTGGTGAGAAGGCTATTCAGAAGATTTAAGAAACTTCCAGAAAGACACAGAGAAGTCAGACTGCAAAGTTCAGATATGAAAGTTATGGAAAGTAATGGCTTTGATGGCCTCCTGTCTCTTCCAAATAACAGTGGGAAGGCCAAAGGTTCTTTTGGGTTTTGTATTCTGCTTGCAAGAAGCCGTTCTGGTAATGTGGATGGCCAGAATGAAAGTCATCAGAAATTGAGATGATCTCTTGCCAGGGGTCAAACAGGTGGCAAACAGCAACTCCCAGGAAGCTCAGTGGGGGCTGAAGGAGGACCCAGTGTTTCTTGACTGAGACCATACATACCAGTCTATAATAATGCTGAGACTGTAAGTTAATCCAGAGATGTAAGGATATTCTTTTCAGATCTATGGCTCTACCAAGTTCTATTGCAAACCAGCAATGATAGGATAGATCACAACTGCCTCAGATATGTGCTACAACATTTACATGTTGCTAAGCCCCTCTAAGTTGAACTCTTTATGCAATCAGTGGGGGAACATCATTCAATCTCTGCTTATTTTGCACAAAAAGCCTATGAAATACCAAATTTTTTGAATCTAAGAAATTTCCAGGTTGACCACAAAAGCTACTGATGTTAAGCACCTATAAGTTTAAGGCAGTAACAGAAAAAAGGCAGTCTGAATTGCTATTTGCAAGTTGGGTGTCTATGTCCCCACTTGGGAAGGATTTGGTAAGGTCTAGTTTTGCACCAGAGCTAGCAAATGATGGCTTTTGCCTTTTCAGAAATGCAAGAGAAAACAAAGAGTCCTTACTTTAACAAAGCTCATTCGGATAGTACACATCTTGGTCAGCTCATACACCACTTCAAAACCATGATTGACCGACTGGGCAAGCAGCTGGGCGAAGAGCTGGTTGTTGAAGATCTTGAGGCTGCAGCCACTGGGGATCTTGCAGACAGTGGCTGGGTGGAAACCGTGCTGGTAGTTACAGTTGCGGCTTTGCACAAAGATACTGCTGTCACTCACACATTCAGCATAAACTTCCCCACCGACGTAGTAAAGATGAACACCTTGAAAAATTAAAAATAGCATGTATTATTTCTCCATTGTTCACGGCACAGCTTATACTGGTAATTCTTTAACTATTTTACTGGTGTGGGTGTATAAGCCCAGCACTGTTTCAGGCACTCCGTGCCTATACAATGCCTCTTAAAAGACAGTAAACTGTGTGCATACCCATGTGTCTGAACACGGGCCCCACCGACATTAAGAAGAAATTGTCATAAACACTATTTCAAGGTACTAGTCTAGGAGAAAAAAAAGTCTTGGCACATGATGTTTTTCTTTGTTTCTCAGTGAAGGTTGGTTTACTTCTTTAACCCAACAGCCTAGTACTTTATGACAAGACACACGTACACATACATATACACACACATAAATACCAAACATATGTCAACCATATACAAATCATGGATCAAAACTGTCAAAGCACTGACAAATCTGTTATGCATTACACTTCTAAATGTATTTTCACTGTTGAGCACATGCACGCTGACCAAGACCCACTTCATCGTGCGCTATTTTTTTACTACAGGATCCTATTTCATGCAGTTCAACTGCAGCATGGTGTGTACTTAAAATAGTTTTTCTGTATTTTTCTTTATCCACCACATCAGAACCATGTTTTTGCATTTACATGATGTCACTTGCTCATCAGATCCTGTTCAAAGTGCCCTTTAGCAAGAAAATGACTGATTTCCTTCTGGACTTCTCAGTGCCCGAGTGACTTACCAACACTAACTCTCAAATTTTTACCATGCCTTGGGGAAATGAAGATGGAAGCATTTCTATCCATTCAAAGACACTGGTCCCCCCAGGATGTCTGCTTGCATGAGAATATACCTAAATTGGTGGAAGAATTTATCTTAGCCCAATTCAGCAAGCTTGAAGTTAGGGATCTTGTGTAAGCTAATTGTGTAGATGCCTTCTCTAGTTGATAGATGATGAGAGGCACCGTGACCAGATGATTCACTCCATCCGCTACAGGGTGCAGGCTCACAGCCAGCTTACACTGATGGAAATCTGTGCAGGTGCTGAAAAGGTTCTCTCCTTCCCTGCCCCTGCTGCTTCTTCCCACACCTGCTTTCATGCTGGCAGCAATGGCTGGGGACTGGGCAGCCATCCAGACTGGGGAACTGAACCAGCTAATAAACTTCAAAACGAACAAAACAAAACAAAAGAAGATTTATTTGCAGTGAGATCTTCATCAGCTCGAGGGTGGCAATGGGGACCCTGACTGTTTAAATGTGAGCACAAAACCACATCCTGAAGGGGGCCGAGTCATCCTGTGGAGATGCTTGACCTTCCCATGGCTAGATTAGGTGACAATGACCCCCTCCTGTGGCCAAGAAAGGTGGAAGAACTCAGTTTTTTGTTCTTGCAAAAAACACCACTAAATAAAAGTAAAATCCTCCTCTCTGTTCCCAGGTATGGCATTCAAACCCTTGCATACAAATGCACATGTTCACAGAGTCTCAGGGGACTGCCTGCAAAGCTAGTGATAACTATGCTTTAATAATTCTGTTGTAATTAGTTTTAATCCTATTGTCTTTCATACAGAAAAGACTGGTTACATATTCCTAGTCTGTTCATCATTTTGTGGTCATGACAGCAAGGGGTAGCAGCACATCCTTAGGACAAAAACAGCCTCTAAAGAGAAGTGGGAAAGGCTCGGGGAAAAGCAGGTTGAGTGGGAAAGGAATCTGGGAAAAATACGCTCTCCCATAGACTTCCAGGGTGACTCAGATGGGAACCTTAAAGTCTGTCTTCAAGCCATCACTTGACTTTTACTTCTACGCACCCACGAGATCTCAAATTAAATGTGAGTGGCAGGGGGTGTGGCTCAGAGCACAGGCTGGTATTGCACTGGGAACACGGGTGAGATGACAGCTCCATTAGACCAGTTGTCAGCTCCAGTCCAACTGCACCAGACGCTATGAGGTGCTGCACAGTGTGACTGCTCTTACTTGGCCTATGTCTCCTTTCCCTTCTGTGGAAAATGGATAAAAGGGAAGGACTGAAAACACAAAGGTCCTTGATGGACCTTTAACTTTCTGAAACATATAACTTTCTGAAATAAGCAGATAGAGTGGTAACACAGGGTAAGGGAGAGAAGAATAGGGACATATATATTCACCAAGTTTCAAATCTTCAGGTGTGGCTACAGATTTAGGGTGACCACACTTCTGGGTGTTAAGGTGAAAAATTTTAAAGGCTGGGTTTTTGGAGTGTATTGAGTAACCCAACTTCTGAAAGTAAAAGAATGCTTTCAAAGGCATTGCCCAAACTGTGTACTACAATAACAAAAACACCAAAGTCACTTCTGAAAGCAGAGACTACAATTCGCTTTTTCCTTGTGGACTTTTTAAAAGCAATAAATACAGCAGTAATGAAATGTCAGTGTGTATTTCCATTCTTCTGGTATTCGTTTGCCCGAGACAAGCACCCTCAAGGAAGCCAAGCAGCTGAATACATATTTGTAGAAGACCAAATCAAGGGTCCATATGTTTTAGCGGGATTTCGTTGCTCTCTGCAGAAACTGGAAATTCAGCAGTCTCCAAGCATCCACATCTTTTTGACACTCTGATCAGAAGTCCCCTTTTTGTCCTTGAAGTCTGGCTGCTGAAACAGGTCCAGTTGCTAGTAGATGTTGCATTGTGTTCTGGATTGTTTTTAGCTTTGATGTGGTATTTCCAGGAAACGGTTTCATGCTGATACACTAGATGACAATTCAATCACATATCCTTATCCTACTGAGCTAATCTTGTTTACTCATTCTTTTTTCTCCCCTGTTAACATGTGACAATTGTATCCATTTCAGTAGCTTTCATCTGTCCAGCATGTCTTTGAACTGCACACTTCTGGAGCTGCTCTGTGCTCTTCTGCAAGCCTGTACTGGTGCCACTTCTATTCCACTTGAACATGTTTTTTTAAGATTTGCATAAACAGGGAAGAGCAGTAAAATTAAGGATCTCTGATATACCTAAAGCTCCTCTCTGGGCAACCTGTTCCCTTCCCTTGGGCAGATTCCTGGTGTAAGACTTTAAAGGACTTTTTTTCAAGGAAGATAGATCTTCAGATTTGTATGGATGAGGACCATTAGCATTTACCTCATTTTCTTCCTGTTCTGTCTCCTCTTTTGGGGCAGAAAGTCACAGGATGTTACATCCTCGAATGGCAGCTTTGACTGGGATCTTTTGTTATTCTTCTTTTAGGGCCGGGCTCAGCTTTGATCTACACCCCTCTGACAGCTTATGCTGATAGAGAAGCTTTGCTTTATTTTCTGAGTAAGTTAGAACTAGATGTACAGCTCATTTCCACGCCTCACAACAAACTACTATGACAGACACTTGTAGCACCACACTGGCTTCACACAGTCCATCTGCAACACAAGTGCTTTCCCTTCCCGGAGAAAAGTGCAAGAGCTAAGTACATCGCCCGTGCCAGCCTTCAGAAGGTTCACTGTTGTTTGTAAAAACTATGTCACATTTATCACTGAGCTTCCTCGTATTCAGTCATTCAACACTAGACTATCAAGAGCCAATTAAAATACTGCTCTAGGCCTGGGAAATGAGGTGAGGTTGACAAGATAATAGGAGTGGAACAATTAGAGTTAATTAGCCCAGTGGGAAATCCTTTCCCAGGCAGCTACTGGTGAGAGGCTGAGCTGGCAAGATAATGAGTCTAGACTGGATATACCAGAACAGGCAAACCTTCATCTGCACAGAGAAGTGGCCGGTACAAGGCTTCTGACTCACTGCCACAAACAACAGTAAGTTCTGGGAGAATACCAGGCCCTACACAGCCCAGGTAAGCTGGGATGGAGTGTGTGCGGCCACCCATGTCCAGGTGTGGTCTCCTTGTGCTTGTCACCAGCAGCACATGCTCCTGTGTGCACAGGGTATACGTACGCCAGAAGTGGAGCATACAAGGAGAACCGTTGCAGGGAGAATCCAAGATTTAGTTTTACTGTCGAGAAGTTGACAAGGCAGGGAATCAGACTGATAGGGGAGAAAAAGCTACAAAGGCAACTCTAGTAGAGTTCCTCAGCTAAATAACTCAACTGCTAAGTGTTTCATCCATCTCCCTTTGTTATTTCGTGGTAGGAGAACCAGCCCCGAGGCACCAGCAATTATCCTTTTAGTGGCATTTCAATGGCAATATTCCCAGTTGCCAGAAGCTCTAATAAATAAAATGAAAATACATACTGCTAAATTAGAGCACACAACTATAAACAACATTTTTCTCTTCGCTGGCCAAGTAAATAGCTTTTGTAAGGAGCTACTCTGCTGATTGTTATCCAGTCAGAAAAGAATCAGCTGCTTTTCTTCTATTTCAGAAGTAATCTCAGAGCTTTGGTTCTAAGACAAGCACATCTGACAAATCATATAGGTTTCTTAATGCAATGCATGGTTCTTTCAAGCTCTGAATATTCCCAGCAAGAAGGAATTTCCTCTTACCTTTTCCTATGTGTCTCCTGGTGTTTTCTATAGTAGAGTTACGGTTTACATTTGAGAGCAGTCCTAGGCAGAACCTGTTTTTGTTATTTGAAGGATCTGTAAATCCATCTATAAGGATACTTCGAGAGGAAGCCTGGAAAGTCTCCCCTACCCGGTTGTTGAGTTCATAGTAGGCAACTGAGCACCAGTGTTGGGGTTCCTCATAGCAAACAGGCCGAAAGTCTGTAGGAAATAAAATTAATCAGCTGCTTAGGTCTCAGTAATATTTTTTAAACAATAATTCTCTGTTTTCTTTCCTCCCTCCCTCCCTCTCTCCCAGTCCCACCCTGCCAGCCCTTCATCTAAACAGTCACTTATGTCAGGCTTTATCTCAACAGCAGCCTCTATTTCTTCTTAATTTTATGACTGAAGCCCCAAACATGCAAAGGCCTGGTACACCAGCTTAACTCTAAGCCTCTGAAGAGTCCCTCTTGTTCTTAAAAGTGATAACTCCACTGCATTAAATTAAGCACATGCTGACATTCCTTGCTGAACTGGGGCTCAACCTCTACACTGAAAATAGTAAGGGACACATCTGCTCTGCACACCAGCAGGAGCTAGGGATGACAGATGGGCTCAAAGCAAGTCAAAACCGAGCCAATCCTTCAGCCTGATAGCAACCTCCAAAGTTCAGAAATAATCAATCAATCCCTCCAATTTTTTGAATGCTTTGGGGCTTTCTGCTTCCATGTGGGACTGTAAGCAGAAACGTCAGCAAGGTCATTTCTTTTGGATCTACCCCTGCCAAAGTTTTGTAACTGAGAGAGAGAGAAAAAGACTCAAAAACGTAACAGAATCTCTGAGCCTCATTTGTCCTACAGGAATTAGAGGGAAATCCTATCCTGTTTGCCCACCACAGGCATGTGAGACCCCCTGCCCCCAGAGCACCTCTGTGCAAAACCTCTAATAAACTTCCAACTAACATTTACTAGGGCAGTAATCACAGGTGGTAAACTATGGTAAATGAGATTAAAGTATCTATCTCCACAATTTATTTAAAAGTATTGGTGTCTGATAACTTATTATTATCTGCCCATTCTGTGTACCCCTCTGTAACTAGCACTGTCATCCTCATCCTCTGCTCCAGTTCTGTGACACATACATGTTCCTCACTGTTTCACAAGGCTGGCATTATTTTTTTTAATGTGCACAGTGTCAAGTCCTTATGCCACAAAGGACATTTTTTTAATACTACAATATGCTGGACTAAAAGAGCAATGGTGATTTTTCCTTTGCAGTAGCAGGAAGCCAAAGGAAAACCCTGCAGAGGAACTCCATTTCCCCTCGCTGCTCTGCAGCAACGGGCTTCAAATGGTGGAGGCATCACCTGCCACTACTAGTCTGGAGGTACACGCTGGGGAGGTCATAAAGTTGTTTTGACGGGAGCGAGGAGGATCCCAGTCCCTTCTAGTCTGCCCACCCATGCCCTCTCCCACTAAAGCATTCTTATAGGAGGACAAAGAGTTTGGCCTTCTGTAAAAATCTCTTTGTACTTCAATAGAACATATCCTTTTCTTTTCTAGCCAGCCAGTAATGTAACATTAATACAAAGATGGCAGTAAGAAAGATCCCAACCACAAGGCTTTAAAGTACTTGAAACACAGAACTGCAGCTGATAAAGAAATCAGTTCTGATATTGGTAGTGCTCTTTTATGTTATATTGCCTCACCATTCTTGATTTGATATCTTTGTCTCTACAGCATAGATAACAGTGTTTGCCTTCATTAACAGATTTCTAAATGTAATAGTCCATGGATGCAAATAAGGTCTAAACTCCGTAACTATACACATAATTCACTGAATTCTTAAATCAACCTATTCTGCTAGCTAGTGGATGGGTCTAGTACACAGCCTTACTGTAAAACTATCTGAAACCTATTATTACAGATCACTGAACCTTAACAGTTTTTCTTTGAAGAATAATACAAATGGTTATTTACTTTCAGCTTCTCCATCGGCAGATTTACCTCCATTGGGCAAAGACAGCACTAGTTGACTTTCAGCTATTGCATCCATTGACCGCCCATTGTGGCTTCCTGGAGGTTCTCTTGCATGGTAAGGCGGAGGTGGAGTTTCCACTATTAGAAAGAAGGAAAGAAAGAAAAGAAAGAAACAAAACCTAAATCAATACATTGGTAAATTCTCTCCATCTTTTCCTGACAAGTACATTGCACTTATTCAGCATTGTTTAGCTAGAAAAGGGCTGGAAACAGAGCACAAATCTGAACGTGACTTCCCTTCCATCTCCAGATTAAGACCATTACATGCTCAGGGAGGACAGGAAGGAAGGGCTGTCATGGTGGACACACTGCACTTGAAAGAGAGAGGGACAGCCACAACAGTGCCTCAGGCCTAGACTGGTGTCCAGTCAAGCTCTCTGTTAGTATGAGTTGTTACCCTAAGAAAGTTTCAGACTTCTCTCCCAAATGTAAAACCTGAAGAGGATGATTTAAGAGCAGAAGCTAACTTCAGTTGATCTTCTGGGACAAAGCTCTCTCTCCTCACAGGCTATAAAAAAAGCCTATGGAAAGCCTTTACACTCTAAAATCAGGCTTGGCAAAACTCCTTCCAGATTTGTCCTTTTTACCTCTGTCCTACAAGGGAAGGCTGGCCCTTTTCTGCTTTGTTCCACCGCCCACCAAAGAGCAATAGACGTGATGAAAAAATACAGAGAAAAGTTATCAACTCACAACGTGCCCAGCTCCTGATTTGTTTCATTTATGGCACAGTATGATAGAAAACAGAATGTGACTCTATTGTGGGGATTCTCAAGAAAGACAGGAGGCTTTAGAAAGCCAGAAAAAAGGGACTTAATTTTGGTATTAGAAAGTGCCGACATTCACTGCATAAGCACTAAAAATATGTAGCGTTATTCATTTGAACAGAAACTCAGTGGGCTTATGTGTAAATTATAGCCATGTACAAGCTTCAAGGACTAAGGGTCTCTTTAAGAAGGGTTTAACTTGGTTCCAGGTTGAAATTTCCTCTTGTGTTTGGGGTCTGTTGGCTGGCCCTCAAAACAGAGCAACTTCACCTAGAGTGGATAAATGTGGACTGTTTCATAAGACAATCGTTGAATCTTCCAAGTAAGTAGTGCACAGGAATGTTATTCTATTTAAGCATTGTTCAGGATACAGGAATTTCATACACCATGTGATATTTCTAACATACAGATAACATAACCCTCCCACAGAAAATGCAAGAAGCTAGAATAGTAAAACAAAATCAAGAGAGTGGAAGAGAATAAAAGTCACAGAAAGGAATATAATGTGCTTATACTGGTATTTTTGATGTCTACGCCTAAGCTAGTCACCATAACCTCTCCTTATACCCACTAAAGAAAAATAGGCACTGCAGACACAGTGCATCTCAGCTACTTCAGACATATACCTTAAGATCCAATGAAACTTGTTCTAGGAGTGCCTGTTTTTCTCCACTGATTACAGAGAGGGTATAGACAATTGCATGAGATGCAGAAATTTGCATTGTTGACATCTATATTTGGTCGCACCAATCCCACTCAAGGTTCGTGTTGTAACTCTAGTTTGCTTTAGATAGTCTCCCATCCCCGATTGTTACACAGGCAAATTATGCTTATCAGCACGCCGTATGCTGTGATATACTGAAGCTCAGGTTGAGCCACTTCCATTTTTAAGCAGCTTTGCAAGGTCCCAAGTTCAGTTAAATGCACAAGTCAAGAGTCATTACATAGTTGGAACGGGCCTGATTTACCTGTCGGGACCAGCTCCACTGAATACAGCTTGTTTACAGAGAGGTAAAAGAAAAAGATGGGAGAAGACAAACAAGTCCTACTACTTGCTGAAATGTTTCAATGTTGCTAAATATGATTTAATCTGAAGTACAGATCTAGAGAAGAAATGAATGAAGGTCCATTCAATGGATGGAGAGGGAAGGAAAAACATCCCACTATGTTGCAAGTGCCCACCTTAAAAGAAAGTTCAAATACTACAAATACCTTGTAAAAATAAACACTTTCCCTGCACTTAAAGTCAAAACAGGCATGTCATTAAGGACATGAAATTAAATGTTTTGTAGCTGAGACATCAAAACATTAAGCTACAAGATTCTGACCTGTATTCATCCTTGTGAAAAAGTTGAGATCATTGAAACTCTTTGAGAATTACAACAAAGTGCAGAAGTGAATCTGAGCTATTTTTTTATATTAAAGCTACCTCTCAGATGTGTTGTATGACACGTTCTTGGCATACTTAACAGCAAAAGCATAATTAAATTCTCAGGTAATTAGAGCAGTACTAAGTAAGGACTTCACAACGCAAACAATCTGAGTGACATAATTCTACCGATCTCAGAACTGTGGAGCTGATGCAACACGTTCCAAAGTCATAGGAATTTGCCTGGTGGCTTCACCAAGTGTCGGGCCAGATTGTTAAACACCTCAGTTTCCTGAAGTTTATACAGTCAGTGGGATCACAATACATCAAAAAATATTTCTGCGTACTGATTTCCCCATTTTATCCTGTCTCTCTTGATGGAGTTTCTAAAGGTCCCTACACTGAACATCTCTCTTAGATGTGCCTAACTTAGGTGTTGCAGGTGCTCTTCTCCATGGATTGTATCAGAAGCTTGAATAGGCAGCTTTAGGCAGAAGGTGGCCTGATACACCCTTACAGGAATCATGAAATCTCAGCCAGGCACTTCTAGGAGTGGGATGACTACAGCTCTTAGTCACTTGAGCATCTGTCAGAAGGACTGGTAGACAATGCTAAGAGACAGTCACAAGAAATCATGTTCCAAATCCATCCTGTCCATCATTTCAATCTGTAGCTACAGCCTGGGGGAAGCACACAGAATTGACACCCGACCCCAGGCCCTGGCAAGAACCTTGACAGCCTCAGTCAGGATGTCTGAAAGCTCGTTCTTACCCGTGAGCTGATAGGGACTTCCTGGTCCAGAAGAGCTTCCTGGTGAGTTGGGGTAGCTGATACTGTTAGGCGACTGGGAGAACATGTGGCTGGGTGATGGTGGAAAAGGGGTGCATGGAGGATGCTGGAAAGAATCAGGATAGGTGGCATTGTGCGGCATCAACGGCTCACTGTGCAGAGAAGTGTTTCGAAACTTGGCGAGGAGGCTGAGGTGAGGGTTAAACTCGCTGTGTCTTGGAACGAGTACAGGAGGTAGGACTGAAAATAAAATAAAGAACATAAAAAGTCTGGTTAGAACTGCACTCTTGAAAGTATATCTCTTTGTAAGTTTAAAAGAGGCATAATCCATGCTGCCCAAATATTGCTGTCTATATAGAAGTCATTGAAGGGCAACAAACCCGTGCAAAAACAAGAATAAAAAGCTGATTCTTGGACCTTTTTTTTCCAGATTTGCAGCCTGTTGTAGCAATTCCATATGCAAAATATGGACTCATTCCTGACTTGAGCAAGATACCATAAATTTCACAGGTACGACATGCACACACATCCCTCTTACAGAAATGCAAGTGGCACATTTCTCCCTCTCAAAATTACCTATTCCTTCCTTCCTGAAAGACTGAACATGTCAGGAATTTCCTAAATATTATCACCAGGATTTGCCAAAACCATAGCCAAGTTCAATAACTATTAATAACTTAATAATTAATAACTTAATAATTAATAACTATTGCTCCACAATACACTGCATATTTTACTACCAGTGTTTTACAGATGGGCAAAAGGAAGCACAGATCAGAAGCCAGGCACCAGATTTAAAAGGTTTTCAGGTACTTGAAAATGCTGCCAGCCAGACAGTGGGATCTTTAAAAGGAAATGTAAGTGGCATTTCAAATATTGCAGCAATATTAATTTAGCTCTTACAATATAGTTAGAAAAGATCTAGCATGAGGAGGCAAATGGCAATGGCTGGTAGTTAAGACATGAAAAACGTAGGTCAGCAAACTGAAATCCAAATGAATCTATGTAAAAATTGGTCTAACAGAGGATGTCACCTCACTTCGCAAACTCTCTTCACTTACATCTCATACTGTCAGCACTGTTAACAGCATTGCTGCACTGAGAAACCTCAAGTTGACCCAAATTATTCTGGATTCTGACATCTGGACCAAGAGCAGAACTGGAGTCAAAACACTTCAGAAAACCCAACTGCTGAGTTACCTGCGAAGATGTAGCTCCTAGGCTGGCACACAAAGAGGCTTGCTAAATAGTTCTGCATATGGGAGTTCAAGCTGAGGCTTTAAGTGGGTCTCCCATAGCCCTTGGGGGGAGAATAGCACCTACAATGGGCAATTCATGTACCCCAAGGCTTCTCTATTAGTTACCAGCTCATGTAGTGCCTAATTGTCTTAGTTAAGGCCTTAAAAAGTAGGGGGAATGAAACCTCAGCTGCTATCGTGCGGATCTCAAAGCCACCTGAGAAGATAGGGAGGCAATCTGAGTTACTGTGACAAGGATGAATTGTCCCAACACCAGGAACAATTCAGCAGGCTTGTATTGATTGACCAAGTGTCCAGAGTTCCTCTGGCCTAACACCCAGCAGCATGTAATCCTTCAGTCTATCCTTACTAGCTTATGGAAACAAATAGCAGTGTGCGCTCTTGGTTATAAATGCTGACAGGAATATATGGTTTGAACGTGTTTTAACATATTGTTTGGGCCCAAAAGCTCTGTCTAAGTAAGACCAATTCTTTTTAGGTAGGTTAGCTAACACCTTTTAATTACAGTGAACTCTCATTTATCCAGCATAATGAAAAGGTGGAATAATTGCTATAAAGCAAGTAATATATAGATAATGCAAAACATGTGCATGAGAAGAGGCTGTAGGAACACCCTGCTTGGAGTGCACCCTCAGTGCACATCGATTGCTCAGGGAGCTGAGGCAGTTTAAGCAGGAGGAGGACGACCAGCGCTTGGCACCAATGGCAGATTTACAGCGTCCTGCTTGACGTAGCACTACGCTGCACCCGGGGCAGGGTTAAACCACGCTCCTGCCCACCCACTGGCATTTGCCAGTCACCCATGAACTGAAGAACTGAGCCCTGAAAACACACCAAAGATTGGACTGATGACAGGGGGTTCACTGCAGAAGTTTTCTTCTTCCCTGCTTGGAAACACGGGCACTGGGATACCTCTTAAGAGACGTAGACCCTTCTCTGGCCCAATGCATCTCTAATTAGTTTCTGAGCAGCACAAGGATAGTGTTCTGGAGACTGCTTTCTTTCCTTCTGCCTCTGATATGCCCCTACCTGTGGGATGAAGATTTTGTTGCCACCCGCTTAATTCCTTTGGCAGACAAAGGTATTTCTGCTTCTTTACCACTTCTTTAGGTTTTTGGATTTCCTAGACTCCACAGGTAGGACTCATGTAGGCAATACAGGTATTCACATCTGAGATGCACTGCTCAGTCCCCCACAGATATCTTCCTAGCCAGTGGGGAGAAAGAGACTCTTTTAGTGCTTAGTTCATCTGCTCTATACTGGGACAAGGCCAATACCACCACTGCAGATGTGGTTTTGGTGAGCTGGATTCCTCCCATCCCATGCTCCTGTGAGCAGCTCCAGGCTGTCAGCTGCTGCTGCTTCTGGAGTTTTCCCCTACTGCTCCGTGAAACTGGTATGATGCTTGCCAGGTCTGCTGCTAGCAGCTCAGCCAGCTCTGACCAGCAGCCCCAGAAAACGGGGAACTGGTGATTCCTTTGCACCCAGCAGAGGTGCTGAGAAAGGGACAGCAATGCCGTGCAGCACTGGGAGATTGGCACCTTGCTGCAGGTACCACTGCTAAGGAAGTGACTTTCTTCAGCCCTGTGAGAACTCAATGCAATTGCTTCTCTAAATGAAAGCTGAGAATCTGGATGTGTGAACAGCACTTGCCAGGAAAAGCCTTTGACTTGCCCCAAGTGAGTCAGCAAGAGGAATTTGCAAGCCTTGAACTCCTTCCCAGCTCTGACCAGGGTACTTTTAATTTCTGCTCTGCTGTACAGTTTTTGCCACCTCACTCAATCTTTCCACTGACTGCTCTGTGGCTGCCTAGAGGGCTAAAGCCTCTGTGGTGGTGAGGAATTCAGAGATTTTCTTGTTTGTGGCTAAAAATTCCCCAGAGGGCCTTGTTCTCCTTGCTCTTTTGGTAACAGATGTCACTCTCCAGGGCTCAACAACTCTGAAGGAAGTGTGACCAGATGCTTGAAACTGAGTGACTGAGTGCATTGGGACCTGTCTGTCCTCATAATTTACCTGCATTGTCTCCACTCAGTGGAGTCCTTTACTTCTACCTGCTATCCTCCACTGAGAGACAGGGGTGGATCCTTCCTTCTATGCATGCTCAAGTGCTAATGATCTTTGCAAAATGAAGAGAAATATGGCCATGTCCGAAGTCCTGCCTTTCCTGTACTAGGCTTCCTCCTGTTCCCTTTAGCTGCAACAGTTCTTACTGAAAACCTGGCTGTGCTCAGAGTCTACAACTTCAGGTGCTAGCAAGCAAAATGTCTGCCTCACAGTTTAATTTCAGGTACAACATCCACCCTGTGATTTCTCACACAACAGCCCATCTATGCAGAATTTACTACTTTTGGAGACCTACCCTCTGGTGAGATCCATCTGTTCCCTATGCCCATTCACAAACACCAAACACATGGCCAACAGTGAGATCATCAGGTGGTCTTCCAGCTGGGAGGCTACCACATCTTAGTCCCACTTGGGTTTGATGAAAGCAATCGGTTAGACTAAGTCAAAAGCTCATTTACGCTCCTGCTGTCTACAGCAATGGTGCACACTAGAATTTGCACTATCCACACATGAATGATTTAATATAAAAATAATAGGGTAAATGTTTAGGCAGCTTTTGTATTTTTTTTGAAACTGCAGTTTCTCCTGACAACAAACCATTCGGACTTCTGACCAGCTCTTTGAGGCCAAACAATGAAGGAGGAAGCATAGAATCATAGAATCATTTAGGTTGGAAAAGACCTTTAAGATCACATCCAGCTGTTAACCTAACACTGCCATCCCATCACTAAACCATATCGCTAAGCACCTCATCTACCCGTCTTTTAAATACCTCCAGGGATGGGGACTTGACCACTTCCCTGGGCAGCCCATTCCAATGCTTGACAACCCTTTTGGTCAAAAAATTTTTCCTAATGTCTAACCTAAACCTGCCCTGGAGCAACCTGAGGCCAAGCAGAGCCTAACCACCATACCTACCTCCTTTAGGCTAGGATGGTCTCACCCCTCTCTGCAGTGGGATGTTGCACAAATAGAGGAAATATGTGCTGCTTTTTTCTAAATGGCACCTGCTGCTCAGCAGACCTGAGAAGAAATCTGGTGACACTGGTAGCAGCAATAAAAACTATGCATAATCTGTGCAGTATTGGTCAGCATAGACTAGGATGTGGCTGGGCAGCCTGAGGACACAGCAGAGGCAATGAAACCCCTGAATCTCAGACCAAAGTTTAAAGCTGCTCTCTAGTAATAGAAGTCTAGGGATCTGCCAGGCCATTAAAGAGTGAGGCCCTCCCATCTTTGACAGAACCCATTCATTCTGAATAAAAGTTAACGGATCTGGTCACAGAGGGGTTGACTTGGCAAGACAGACTGCAGTGATGGAAAGTGAGCCCCAAAAGGATGGACATTTGCATGAAAATACTACTGGCTTGTGGATTATAAAGAAATGCACTGCTGACTAATTCCATGGGTGGATTCTTTAGCTCCAGAAGATTAGATTGAGAGAATCGCCGACAGCCAAGTAGGAGACGATTTCCTGCAGTTAAGAGAGTACCGTTGTTTAAACAGACTGCTACCTAGATCAGTCGCTCCCAGCCTTTTCTGTGATGATCTCACTGCTACCACTTTCTCCTCAAGCTCATTTCTTCTCTTGCCTCACCACCACCTCCTTGCAGCACTGCTTTCTAACTGCCTCTGGCCTGGAGCTGCCTTATTGCCACTTGCAGTGGTGTAAGTTACCCATCCTGCTGTTGCCCCAGCACACTGGAGGAGGTTGTACTCCTCGCTGCACCACATCTTTAGCAGGGGGGTGACTCACTTGTGAGGTTCATTTTTTTAAGCTGTTCCCATAAGAAGAGCAGCAGGGGTCAATATAACAGCCCAAGAACAGTCCCCATGTCCTGAGCAGAACTGGCACAGCACAGCTTGCACCCTCGTAGTTGCACTCTCTTTCACCTCCAAAACAAGGTGGTCATGTCCAAGGTGCCCAAAGTCCCTCCCTGTGGGCTAACCCCCGCACCCTGAGAACTGCTAGCCCATGCAAGTCCGCATGGGTCAAAGCTGTGCCCAGGAGCATGCTACCAATTCAGCAAGACTCAGACCTGCACCTTGGCCCCATACTATTTACTAGTAGAGATGTAGCCAGTCTGCTTCAACAAATGATGGAGACCTGTTTCCAGCTGAAACCTTCTGAGTTTCAGGGTCAGCACAACAAGCTTTGGCAGCCATTTAGCAGCTGCTGGACTATCCCAATACTAGTGTTTGTTAGCTGGTACTGAACAGATCAGAAGACCGGGTGTTGAAAACAGCACTGTCAGCTACCGCGCTTTCAGGTACCGCTGTCAGGTGCCGCCCCATTATCTACACTGGAGTTACACCAGAAGAACTGAGAAGACACTAAGGACTGCGGCCTTCAAAGAGAAAGATACACAAAATGGGATATTTTACAAGCATCTTTTCTTAGGTTCTTAAAGAGTTTATTTTAGCAAGGCAGGAGATCAGCTCTTTCCACTGAAAACTGTTGACAACAAGCACCACTCACTGCAGCTGTAAAACTTTAGTTGTGACAATGTTTACAGCAGTTCAGATACAACTTTGGAATGACAGCTCTGCTGCGGTGGAAGGACTATCAGAAAAGGGAGCAGCCCCTGTTGTTTAACAAATGTCTTTCCCTTATTTCATCTGTGTGAAAAGAAACATCCCACAGTTCACTTATCTGATCCTAATGTCACCTCAGAGTAAAGTTCATGCCAGACAAAGAGTAATCGCAGAATAATAAGTATACACTTACCAACCATATCCATTAGTAAATTAAATTACTGTGATTTTTGGCAGCAAGGGAGAGCTAGGTTAGACATTAGAAATCATTTTGAACTGTAAGGATAGCAAAGCAATAGATTCAGTTGCCTGGGGAGGTTGTGGAGCTTCTATCACATGGCATTTTTAGAGCTCATTAGAAAAACATCTGTCAGGAATGTACCTGGTAATTTGTTTTGGTTTGGGAGTAGTGGCAGAGGAGAACATGACGACTGCTCGAGATCTCTGCCAGCCCTGCTTTCTAAGATCCCTATAGAAGTCAACACTGAACACTGTAATTTTCTAACAGCTGTTTCATTGACCAAAGCCCAATTAAACAACCCTTCAGTGAGGCTGTAAGTTTTCAGTGCTGACCAAGTCCAGTCTAAAGGGGATCATCAGTGGAAAAATTCAAAGTTTTATGGGAACTTGGGGAATTTATTTCACATAAACTATCCATTCAGGTAAGTAAACCCCTCTGAAGGTAGGTCGGTAGGCATTTTAGGAAGAAGCAACTGACCTGGTTTCATATCCGCAGCAAAATAAGCCATCTTGCTGCAACTCTAACCTTCAGAGAGTGAGCTAGTGATACATTTTTCCTGTGGATTAATGGGTCGATTGTTGGTTTTCAGACAATGAGACATAAATCTAGCCAGGGCGGTAAGTCTAGGATGGTGGCTAGACTTCATGCAAACGGACACCGGTTTGCAGGAGAGTTCAGAGGGCAGCCAGCACCCACGTCTGGGGCGAGGAAGCTTGCTTTCAGCACCCTGGACAAGATCCAGGCGCCCTCAGGGGCCGGGTGGGCTGCGGACCCCACAGGGCGAGGCGCTCCCTACTCCCGGCTGCTGGAGTGGTGATGCCACCAGGCACGGAAAGACCCAGGGTCCTTCCATCGATCAGAGCCTGCCTTTTCAGATTTCAGAGCAGATCTCGCTATGATGCACCAAGACTAGACCTGCCAGAGCAAGAGCTAATCGAGAGATGTGACTCATTTGCAGACGACATAATTACCTGGGGTTTCCACCCGCCGGTAATGGTAGGGGTTAATGCACACTTCTTTCTGTTTTGAGCCAAACGGGAACTCACAGCATTCCAGTGGTTTCAACTCATGGTGAGACTGTAAATCAGGCCAGCGCCACACTCTGCAGTATATGACGTGGGGAAGCCCCTTGCGGTGAGACACCTGCAGTCGCCCATCCAAGGAACGTGGGATTGTGACACATTTACTGGGCTGACCTGGGCAGCTCAGAGCCCTTTCCAGTTCTTCCATGGCACCTTTTTTCTTCTTTAACTTCTTCACCAAGGAATCAACAGCTTTTTCTGCCCACTTTTCCTCTTCATCTCCTTGTTTCCAGCCCAGCAGCCTTTTTACTGCAGGGCTGGTGAAGGAGAACAAGGAACTGATAGGGGTGCTGGAGTGCATAAGAAGCAGAGATTACACACGAGCGTCAACAGAAGCACAAATCACTCTCCTGCCTTGCAAGGCTTGCACAGAGTTTCCACAATATTGAGATGGATGCTTCCTTCAAGGAAAGGTTCTTCCACACATAGGTTTTTGTAGTTGTAGGCACTGGTTACAAGTAGTCCAATAGGGTGGGTCTCAGAACTTTCCAAACATCAAGAAACTGCTGATGAAGGCTGGAATAACAACACAATACATTGTTAGGCTTCACATACTCCTTTCATTGTTCATTCAATAAAGTCTTTTGAAAAAGCAATAATTCAAAATGTGTATTTAATTTTCAATGGTTTTCTGTTTGCTTTTTGCTGTTTATTTTGGGTCCAAGCCTCTCCTCCCCACTACCCTTCACACTCATTTTAGAGTTGGACCTTGGAAAGCATTAAGTATCCAGTCACTTCAATTTGTGAGTTTAATGCACTAGGCAAATCGTTGCAGGGTTGGGGTTTATATTTACTACAAAAGAAAATGTACTTTTTTTTTTTTTATGTTGGTAGCTCTAAGTTCATCTCAAGCATCTTCTACAAAATTAAATCTGTAATATCAAATTTTATGGAAGTAATAAGTAGAATATTTTTCTGATTTCAACTCCCTCTCTGCCCCTCCAATCTCACTCGACTGTCAAGAGTTGCAAAATATTAACTGCAAAATTAATTTAAATTTCAACTACTCACAGATCTCATTTAGTGCCTTCGAAAGATCTATCACTATTTTCTAAGCTTATTTACACTGTCTCATATACAAGAGAAAACCTTGTTTGCCTAGCCAGTCTGTTTGGCTCTCTCCAACAATTCAAAGTTTTTTGGATTAAAATCACAGACTTTTGGACACGGTTTGTGCTGGATGGATCCTGGGCTATTTCTGCTAGGAGTTGCTACATCTGACAAAGACCAACAGAAAGAGTTTAGTTCTTGAGGGTTTCTCTTTTTTTTTCCTTCTTTTTTTTTTTTTTTTTTTTTTTTTTAAAACATAGCTGGAGCCAGTCTAATTTTAGCAGAAAATGACATATTTCCACTGACTGGAACTCCGAGGAAAAAAACGTCCTTGCATGTCAAGCTATTTACTGCTTTAAAAATACTTCATGGACCCCCTGTGCATACCAAGTCTAAAGGTCTAAGCTATACAGAGCGCACTTAAAGCAGGAGGTGAGAGCAGCTTCTACGTGGATGCCTCCAGAGAAGCAGCTCCGTAACTGCTGTACTCCACCCTTGTGGGACGACTTGGGTCCCCCACCAGTAAAGGCCTGGACATAGTCCTTAGCACTACTTATATGCAGCCACTGAGGAGACAGAGAGGTATTGCCTGGTGTTGGGAGCAGCAGGGCTTCACAAATCATGTTATTCTGCAGTTTCCTTAAATTTACAGCTCTTGTAAGAGTTCAAAGGGCACTTGGGGACACCAGCTGCAGGCACAGGTACAACATACTGAGACAGGAGGCCAATCCCAAAGACTGGTTCCTCGGCATAGTCTGATATGCTCAGCACCACACAGCTCTGGAGCATGCTGCAGGGTAAGCGCACATGGCCCAGGGCATCAGAACCTCTTAGCAATGGTTGCTGATGACCAGTGACCGCCTAGAGCTGTTTTCCTCCTAGCCCTTCTGTTTTGTTCTCATGCCCATTCCTCTGCCCCACTGCGTCACCCTTTAAGACACCCAGCACCCTGAGAAACGTGGATAGATGTAAACATAAGGAGCTTTTTCCCTTCTTCCACAAGAGCAGCACTGATGAGGGCAGGGCCTCAAATTCCCAAAAGCCTTCTACACGACTAGGGAGACAGAAGCACTGGACCCCACAGAAGAGAAAGCATAAAAGCGACTCTGGCTTGTCACAAGCCCCAGCAGCAGCTGCTATTCCCCCAGGAGATTCCTATTTCGAACACCAGCAGACAGGAGGCTGCATGAAAATATGAACAGAGGGACTACAAAACTGGAAGGAAGAGCAGGCACACCTTGCTTCAGGCACCCACCACAGCACTGAGCTCTGGCTTAGGCAATTTCTACATTATCAACATCTTGGGTCAATTATCAGGGTCTTGACAGAGCATGGCAGAAATCCCCTCACTCATGCCATTCAGCAATCAATGATCAATTCCATGGAACTGCCCAGACTTGTCCCACCAAGCAAAGGGAGGCTTTAGATTCCAGATTTTTTCCCTGCTCTGTATTAGTAAAAATCCAATGGCCTGGAGCATTTAACTGGATAGTTACTAATGCCTCTTAGTCAATGCCAAAGTCTATTCCAAACACTTAGAGGGTACATGTGAGAACGAAATAAGTTCAGAATGATTTATCACAGGAAAAAACCCTCAAGCTGCTTGTAAAACATAATGTGGATAAAATTTAAGCAGGCAGCCTCCAGACTTTGCGGGAGCAGGCTCAGCCTATAGAGCCCAGCACCAGCCCCATCTAGGCATCCCGTGCAGGGGAGGTGTCTGTCCCTCGCTGCCCCGGTGAGAACCTGGGGAGGATCCACCACTGTACTGCTGTCATTGCTTGGTGGCACCAACCCCATCCTCACACAAGAAAATGAAACAATGCTGGGATCTCTGTAGATCAGCCCTGAAAGCAGCAGCAGGAAGCGAGGAGAGCCTGGGATGAAAGCCCACAGGACCTGTGGTAGAAGTCCAGGCTGAGAGGGAAAATGGCTCACACTTCTTATCTGAGGGGGTCTCCTGGGCCTTAGTGTGTGTAAACAACTGCCCCGATAAGTTAATGCAACCTTACAATCATCAGATATGAAAACATACATGTTCACGTAAAAGTATTGTCCCAAGATTTTCTTTTCCATTTTGACCAAGGTTTTAAATAAACACATTAATCTCGTTCAGTCAAATTAAATAACTCAACAGTGACATCAGTATGAGTCTGAGCACTATTGTTGCTAGTGGGAGAGTCGCCAAGACTATGTGTATAAAAGCAAAAGCCGTGCTTTGCAGACCATGTGATGTAGTCTCAGATAAGTACATTGCACAATTTCCTACCGTGCTCCCCCCAGTTTCTTCTAAATTTTTTTTCCCTGAATTCAACTGACATACAAAATATAAATGGTATTAAATAAACTAAACAGCTTTCAAGTAATATTATTATCAGAACATCCTAGTTTTATGTTATTAAATTATATAATACTGCATATTATTCAGCAGCCTAAGCCATGTCTTGCTAGGCTTAGATACTCCATTATGAAATACCTAGGCAGACACTCTGCTCCAGGGCTGTAATGATAGAGATGTCAATTCACAATTTAATTTTAACAGCCTTTCAGGACCGTAGTTGCTTAAGCTGTATGCCTATTGTAACAGACAAATTGCATACCCAGCTGGAAACTTCCAGCATTGAAACGTTTCAAAACCATGTTTGATGTGTTTTCTGTGCTGATGATCCACCATGTTCTCAATGCTCATCACTTGAGAGTGGCATGGGGGGAGAGAAGTGTTACAGTTTTTATCCATAACCCTACCACAGTCATCAAGCCCTGGGCCATACCATGATGGAGGTTCTGGTCTGGTTGCCTCTATCGCATTATCATTAATCAATAGGATTGTAAAAGTCCTCCAAGATCATCAAGTCCAACTGTCAACCCAACACCACCATGCCTACTAAACCATGTCCTGAAGCCCCACATCTACACATTTTTTGAACACCTCCAGGGATGGGGACTCCACCACTTCCCCCATTACGATGCTTGACAACCCTTTCAGTAAAGAAATTTTTCCTAATATCCAGTCTAAACCTCCCCTGGTGCAACCTGAATCCATTTCCTCTTGTCCTATCGCTTATTACTTGGGAGAAGAGACCGACATCCACCTTGCTACAACCTCCTTTCAGGCAGTTGTAAAGGGCGATCAGGTCTCCCCTCAGACTCCTCCAGTGAGGTCCCTTCCAACCCTTACAATTCTGTGATTGATTCTGTGATTCTGTGATAAGACTTGTGCTCCAGACTTTTCACCAGCTTTGTTGCCCTTCTCTGGACATGTACCAGCAACTCAATGTCCTTCTTGTAATGAGGGGCCCAAAACTGAACACAGTATTCAAGGTGCAGCCTCACCAGTGCTGAGTACAGGGGCATGATCACTTCCCTGGTCCTGCTGGCCATGCTATTCCTGATACACGCCAGGATGCTGTTGGCCTTCTTGGCCACCTGTCAACCAGCACCCTGAGGTCCTTTTCTGCTGGGCAGCTTTCCAGCCACTCATCCCCAAGCCTGTAGCATTGCATGGGGTTGTTGTGACCAAAGTGCAGGACCCAGCACTTGGCCTTTTTAAACCTCATACAACTGACTTCAGCCCATCCATCCAGCCTGTCCAGATCCCTCTGCAGAGCTCCCTCAGTGACAATATGATGTACTATCATTAGCATGAGTCAGGCATCATTCAGGGTACATCCCTAACATGATTCCCTCCTCTGGGACTACAAGGAAGGCTTTGTTTGTCTTTCAGGTAAGTGACTGCTTAAGACCAAACACAGTCAATCTTCCATGCTGTAAATCTTTATTCCATTGCCGAGTTTAGCCTAAGATCTGAAGCTTGCTTTAGGGGAGAGACAGAAGACATGTGAGCATGGACCCACCCTTTTGTTTCTGTGGTCTGCAGGAGCAGGAGAACGTGGGACTGGAAATACTTCAGCCCAGTTCACTTGCTCCATTCTCCCTAAACATAGCTATAGCTACACTAGTGCTGGGGAACATGTCTGAGCATGGGAACTTGATTATCTATAGCGTAAATTATTACCACAGTATCTGGAATGGCTTTAGTCTGTGCCAGTAGCACTCTCTCCAATAACTCTTGTCCATGATTCAGCATTTAGCAGGGACCAGGGGTCATGCCTAATAAGAAGTCTGCATAGAGCCACCCTGTTTTGGAGGGTGAGACAGCCGGTGCATGGAAGCAAGCCTCTCCATCTCAGTTGGCTTCAAGGCTAAGAACAGTATCAGGCATGTTTCATTTATTAGTATGGAAACAGCCTT